CGTTCTATGCCCTGCAAGAATTCCAACGCTTTATGGTCGGTTACGACGTGGATGGGACGTCCGAGGAGCTTGTCCTCCCATTTGAGGAGTCCCTCCATGATGGCGAGTGCTTCCTGCTCGTACGTATGGTACGCCTTCTGTGCAGAAGAGAATTTCTTCGACAAGAATCCTGCGGGTCTGCAGGTTTGCCAGTCCTTGCCCTGGCCGTACACGGCCCCAATTCCGTAGATGGAAGCATCGCAGATGAGCCAGATCGGCTTGGGCAATCGAGGGTCGATTGGCTTGAGAATGGGTACCTTACACGCCAAGGCTTTGATAGCTTCAAAACACTTGTCGTGTAGCGTACGCCATACGAATGGTTGGTCATTGCGGACCATCGCAGACAGAGGCGACGTATACGCCGTGACATCAGGCATGAAATGGGCGAGGTAATTCACTAGCCCTAGGAACCGTTGTACCTCATGGTACGATCAAGGAGTGCGCCAACTCCGAATACGACTCATTTTGTCGGTATCAGCGTGTAGTCCGCGATCGTCGATACGATGGCCAAGACAATCTAAGTCTTTCGAGTATAAGTCGCATTTACTGCGACTTAGGAAGAGCTTCGCCTTCCGTAATACCTCGAACACCTGGGCCAGGTGTTGCTCATGTTCTTTGAGCGTGTCCGAATAGACGAATATATCGTCTAGGTAGACATGTACGAATCGTCCGATAAAATCGCGAAATAGCGTGGTCATTAGACGTTGAAACGTCGAAGGGGCATTTGTGTCCCCCTGTTGCATGACTTCGCTCACGAACGTCCCGAAGGGCGTCGCAAATGCGGTTTTCCAGATGTCTTCGGCCACAATGCGCACTTGTTCGTACGCGTCGGACAGGTCTATCTTAGACCGATATCGGGCCCGAGCCACATCCATTCGGATCTGGTCCTGGTCTGGGAACGGGGTCAGATCGTGGACCGTGTTGTCGTTCCTCTGTCGTGCATCGACGACCGTTCTCAACTTGCCATTCTTCTTGGCCACACACAGCAGCGGTGCTGCTTGCGTTACCGTGGCCGGCCGCCACCATCCCGCTTTCACATAGCGGTTGATTTTTGTCATTAGATCAGTCTTGATCGCGTCGGCGCACCTAGGCAGGTGGTAGCGGTAGATTTTCTTCTCGTCTATGAGAGGAATCCGATGATTCACTTCTCAGAACGGAGGGAGTTCCTCCGGAGCAGGACGCATGATGTCCTCAGTGGATTTATACCACTTCTCGCGGAGTTTAACCAGCTCCTTCTCTTCGTCATCGTTAATGACGAACCCGACATGAGACCGTCGGATTTCCTCGTACTCCCATGCATCGCTCGCTATGCGATCTAGCATCTCATTGACCCCATATGGGTCATCGAATCCAAAGCGGTCCTTGCGTGGACCCTTCGACGAGTGAATCGTCGGTACTATACGCTCTGTAATTACAGGAGCAGAGCTGGTGACGGCTCGCCCTTGGTGTCGAACCGGAATTGTCACGGCCATATTGCCGTTCCCTCAGCCCCTGTTGTAGTTTTAATGTATTATAAACCGTTTATATGCCTGCGGCGCATTACATTATAAACCGTTCCGGTTCGTAATGTATTACGAACACCCCGGGGGCCCGAGGCATCTGCCCGGCACCTGCCAAATATGGCAGGCAGCCCCGGAAGCGCTGTTATCAGTGCCCGGCACTCTCCAGTGGCTTATCTCTTATAGATAAGGCCTCTATCTCATCAATCCGAGCTCCCCGGACATCCGGATAGCCCCTCCCACCGGCGCTTTGGCTCCCGCCCTGCCACATCCCAATTAGGAAGGTGTACTCAACACCTGCACCCAGGGCAAACTGCCTGGTTCATAGCTCACTCATTAATCCACGCATCGGCGTCGCACTCGGCGCGTTTTGTGCGTAATTACAAGGGCTACAAATCGACGCCAAAACGTCAAGATTCAGGTATGTATTGGCGGCGCTACATCGCGTTTGAACGGGCGCTTTACAGGAATACTGCGCGGACCATAGCGCGCTCAGTTCCCCACGCGCAGATACGCACCCGGTATCCCCACAATGCCCTGAGCAGTGGCCTTCGAACGCGCCCCTCGCGGCGAAGATCCGCCCACGCGATCGAGCTCGGCAGCCTGTCCACCTCTGGCAAGGGGCTGGGCAGGCCTTACTGGGCCATATCTCGCCCAAAACACGGCGGATCTTTATGTTTTTGAGCTTGAAACAAAGCTTACATATGGCGCTTTACATTTAATTAGTGGCTCCCGCATTTTATAAAGTTAAACGTTGCCAAGACTGCTGAGCAGGTGCTGGTGGGAGAGGTGCCTCCCGCGTTTTCGTTTCAGAGTGCATTGCCATAAAAGTGGGTGTGTAGCTGCATGATATGTCCGAGAATACGTGTACGGACTTTCAGCACAATCGAATGTGTTTTGATTCCGGCAGAGCGTTATCAGTCCTGGCTTATATACCTTCATATCTGGCCTCTCAGAATAGCTATGTCTGATCTGGTTCCACAATTATATAGAGCATTTAAACCACATTATAACGCAAAAAAAGCTCAGAAAACGGTTGAAAACGCGTCAAGATAGTGACTTTACAGTGCTACAGCCTTGCCCTGCTGTAACACTGCTTACAATGCACTCGGATCCGGCACTGTCACAGCACTGCCGCCCACACCGTCTTAAGACGGTCGGCGGCTATCCCCTGTGTCAACAGATCTTCTTATATCCCCCTCAATACTGACGCGTTTCTCCTCATCTTTTGTGTGCGGATTCTCGACGGATAGGGCGTTCAAGATCGGCTTTTTGAATTGTAATCGGCCCCCTATTGAGCGCGACACCAAGTAGGTACAGTGGAACACTGATAACAGCGTACAGCCATAAGAGATACATGCGGCACGCTGTAAATCGACGGACCTATACATATACGGTTTCCCTACAAGAGGAAAAAGGAAGCATACAAATCGGCGGTTATTTGGGGGAGCTACACGCATAATAGTGCAGAAGGTGCGAAAAACCAAGAATAAACTGAGCTGATATGATGTACAAAGGCAAATCACTCACAAAAGCTGCTTATATCCTTTACATGACTAAGGAAACATTTTAAGATAGTTTTCTGAGCAAGGAAACCATCCATGGCGCTATAGATTAAGGGGGACTGTTGGCAGGGGTGAGGAGAGAGGCATCCTAGTAAAGATGCACAGAGCGGTGATTCTGTATTGTATTGTACACCATTAGAGCACTATGGAGTATGGCTTTCCAATGGTATAGCATTCATGGTGTTTTGAGGCTGTGAACCCAGTAAATTTACCGTGAAGGCTTCTGGAAGTGCAGCCCCTTTCCTGGCTTCCCAGGCCGCTCAGAATTGCGCGTGCAGCCCTATTTCAACAATGTGAATATCCGTCATAGTGCAAGCTTTTGAATAAGCCCATATTCGTACAAATAGGCGGTGAAATGGCCTAGATATGGCCCGGGCACTCGAAAACAGCCCCCTGCCCAGGTGGACCAAGTACAAATCAAGAACGCGTGGGCCGTTTCCTGCTGCGAGGGGCGCGTTCGAAAGCCACTGTCTGGGGCTTTTCGGGGATACCAGTGTCGTGGCTGCGCGTGTGGGACCGGGTGCGCTATAGCCCACGCAGTATTCCTATAAAGTGCCCATTAGTACACATTGTAGCGCCCTCAATAAGTATCCGATTCTTGGCGCGCTTGCATAGTCCTGTAGCGCTCATATATGCGAGCAAAAAGCGCCCAGAACGAGCCTAATGCGCCCAGTATTAAGCGAGAAATATGCCAGGCAATGTGCCCTGGGGGGAGGTGTTTAGTACACCTTCCTAATTGGGATGTGGCGGGGCGGGAGCCAAAGCGCCGGTGGGCGGGGCCATCAGGATGTCCGGGAAAGTCGGATTGATGAGATAAAGCTGTTATCTAGCAGAGATAAGCCGGGGACAGTGCCGGGCATTGATAATAGCGCTTCCGGGGCTGCCTGCCATATTTGGTAGGTGCCGGGCAGATGCCTCGGGCCCCCGGGGTGTTCGTAATACATTACGAACTGGAACGGTTTATAATGTAATGCGGCGCGGGCTTATGAACGGTTTATAATACATTACGACTACCACAGCTGGTGGTTCCCTCCCCCTTCCGATGACCCTTGCGGTCCTGCATAGCGCGTATGGGGAGGCTCCACTTTCGTGGACTTCGCCATGCTCCCCTATTGGACCAACGGTCCGTTCTCGGTTACCCACTTGATAGGTTCCTTGAACGACCATTTTGGTGTCTTGGAGGAAATGGCCTCCTCCTTGAATAAAGGAATGCTCTGCTTCCCGACCAACACCCGGTCGTTCGCAAAGTCCAGTACAATACCGTACTTACGACAGAATACTGTCCCCAATATTGCGTCGTACTTGTCGATATCGACGACATCGAAATAATGTGTATTACGCACTGAGTTCAGTGCGATTTCGGCTTGCGCCCCGAAATTGATCTTCGTACGACTACCCTTAGTCCCCAGCTGGAGGCCTACTGGCTCCTGCAGGTCAATCCTGCCCGCCTTGCACAGATACGCAAACTCCGGAGTAATGGAGTCGGTAGTGCAGCCCGAGTCAAATAGCACTAATGCTTTAATACCGTTGATC